CAAGAGTGACTGGCCAAAGAACACCCAGCACAATTCACTTCACAACAAGGCTCGGAAACTGGGTCTCCTCGGTCTGAGTCCCAAGGCTCCAACTCACCCCGACCCCACACTGGCTCTCAGAACTGCTTGTGAGAAGCCCTTTGACTGAGGGGAACACAACTCCTGGTTCATGGTTTTCTTCCAGGTCTGAATGGAGACAAGGGCTTTCTCACCCACCAACCCACAGGGGTTAGCTAAGTCAGGAAGCCAACAAGGACTGTGGTTGTGAACGTGCTCATGGTTTATATCTTGAGGCCTACACAGACCGATCCTCTGGCATGAGGGCAGGTCCAGGGATTTCACTGCCTCCCCCAGTGTCATGGCTGCTAACTGGACCCAAGGAGCTCACTTTGGACGGTACCCCTGGGTGGCCCTGGCAGGTGTCTGGGAGGCCACGATGGGCACAAGGCGGCAGACCCCTCTCTTCCCCCTCCTTCCCCCCACACCAGTGCCAGCAGCAGAGAGCAAGATGAGCCCCAGTGTGGCACTGGCACACTCGGAATTGTGCCCCCCTCCCAAGGGCTTCTTGGCCAGCACATTTGCCCTTCAGTCAAGTCTGGGGCTGTGGTCAGAATGGTGCCGGTCTAGGATCTGTGAGACCCGGGTTCAGATCCCTCCTCTGCAGGGAGGGTGATCAGGGGCCAGTCACACACTCTCAGCCTCATCCACCTTCGCACTCTGCACATCTCTTCCCAAAATGCCCTGCTGCAGCCTCCTGGGCCCAAGGTAAGAAAAGGAAGGATCCCCCACAAGGACTGGAACTACAAGAATGCAACCCCCCCCCCCGAATGATCAAAGGGACTGCACATTTAGAGAAGGTAAAAATTTAGCAATCCAGTGCATTCGGTCCTTTCATGTTCTATTTTTTAAAAACCTTGCCTTCTGTAGTTTTATAACATAAGAGAAGCCAAAACCCAGGTGCCATCAGGAAGTCCATCAGCGGGGCCAGAACTCCAAAAGCCCTCCCACTCTTGCCCCCCAAGCACCGAGAAGACAGAGCATCACTGCCCCAGACATAAGAACGTAAGAGAAGCCATGTTGGATCAGGCCAATGGCCCACCCAGTCCAACACTCTGCGTCACCCAGTGGCCAAAACCCAGGTGCCATCAGGAAGTCCATCAGCGGGGCCAGAACTCCAAAAGCCCTCCCACTCTTGCCCCCCAAGCACCGAGAAGACAGAGCATCACTGCCCCAGACATAAGAACGTAAGAGAAGCCATGTTGGATCAGGCCAATGGCCCACCCAGTCCAATGCTCTGCGTCACCCAGTGGCCGAACGCAACATCTGCATTGGGGGGGCGAGGTCCCTCTCCCCTCCCCTCAAGCACAGACCACCTTTGGAGGGCCCTCGAAGCTACTCTGAGCTCCTCCATGAGGGGAAGGGTGGAATATAAAAACCTCCAAAAAAACCTAAATTAAAAGTCACCAGAGGTGGGTGGGTGGGTGTCCCTTCCGCCCCTGGGGAATAGAACTGGCACCTTCCAGGAGGTCCTGGCCCAGAAGGCGGTTCTGGAAGCCAAAAGAGGGCTTCACACACACACACACACACACAGAACCCGCAAGACAGGCGGACAGAGGAACACACCAACAGCCCTCCCAGCAGAGAGACCACCTGCTGCCCCGGAATCCACCCGGCGCTCAGACGCCCATTCAGGGGCGCTCCCCTCGTTCCCTGTGAACCGCCTCCTGCTGCGACTGCCGGACTTTCGCCAGGCCCCCGCCCCGGAGACCTTCCAGACACGAGAGACGAAGGGGAGGGAGTCCGCAAAGAGGTCGAGATGGGAAAGAAAGAGAAGAAATCCCCCCCCCCTTTCTGAGCCAGGGAAACGGATCACACGCAACACCCCCCCCCCTTTGCACACTTATCCCCAGTGCAAATTCTGCCTTCTCCCCCCACCCCTGAACGCATCAGCGTTTTTGGTCCCCGGGAAGAGAAAGAGGGACTCACCGGAGCAGCCCACCGCCATCAGCAGGAGGGCGACGCCCCCCAAGAATGGGACCCCCCTCGGGGACAGACCCATCACGACCCGGAGGAGCGACAGAAACGCCCTTCTGCGCCCGCCGGCCCACCACCCGGGCTCGCCACGCACTTTCCCCCGAGCCGGGCGGGGAGGGACGCGGGGCGAGAGCACGGATTGGCCGAGGGGGGAATTTCCCTCCAATCGGAAAGAAGAGCCCAGGCAGTGTCACGAGTCACTGGGCAGACCCGTCGCCGGCAGCCTGAGCCACTGAGCTCGCCTCGGCAAGGGAAAGCGAACGTTGGCTGCGAAGTCGGCTGGGGGGACCGTGGCTGGGGGTGGGGGGACCGTGGCT